AAACCAAACATTTTTGAATTTCTTGACGTTTCAAGTTGCCCCGAGTCTAAAAATGTAGAAATCTTAGTGGGTCATTATTTGACCGATCGTCACACTTTTCCTCTGTTATAACAATCGGAAAAGTAAAAACACTGTCCGAAAAAAAATGAACAACGGAGGAGTACTGTACGGATCCGACCGACCTGACTACACTATAAATAAGCAATCATACGGATGAGAGTAAAGCCCTCCAAGACCTGACTCGTACTTAGATTATAAAAATATTGGTATATTGAGTATAAGTACTACACTTACCACTTTAAACTCTGATCTGACCTTCTTTATAATAGTTAAATAAAACATAGAAAATAGTTAAATTCGAAATGAAACCAATCTAGTTTTATATCACTTATCTAATTACTTAAATCTGAAATCTTGAAGCAAACAAAACAATCTAGATTTAGACTTTAAAAAATAGATTCCGAAATGACAATCCTACCGAACACGTGGTACAGACTTCAANTGGGAGAATAATTTCTTTTATGTGATAATAAATTGTACATATTTTGCAACGGATCATATAAACTACATGAAAAGTATATTCTCGTAAATATCGCGTTTATAGAAAAATTATTGGGCTGCAATTTTCAACAATTGTAGACCTATAAATTTTGACTGTATTCTCCTGCATATCTGTCTGTCCTTCCTTAATCTCAAGAAAAGAGTGAGATAGATGAAAATCGAGACAAGATATGTAAAGCTTAGTGGCAGGATGCCAGAATAACTACAGTATATATGAACTTCTGATTTGAACCGGAAGTCACGTTACTTCAATTCAAAATTTTCCCCTGCACGGAGTTAGAGAGATAACCGGCACGACTCAATTGCTAACAGAGAAAGTATGATGTACAGGGAAAGACACTACTAAAAGAATTGAGAACATTGTGACAAAAAATTGCAGCCCGGCATTGCGACGTTGTCACAATAAATAATCGCTCGTTAAAATTATTTTGGTTTATTTGATTACAGCAATGCGATGCGGGAGCGATTTTCCGAGGGTGATACATCCCAGAAAGACTTTTATTGGAAGCTGGACCCTATTTAGATGTTACAAACGCGAGGAAAACTCAGAAAACTCCACGTTGGACATGCCCGAACCCACGACTAATTACCAATGTTCGGTGGTTTTATCCACTGGGCCACTGGAGGGCGCTTATTAGAAAATACTGTTCAGGAATGAAAAGAAACCAGAATCGTTAATGTGGAAAATTAAATATGTACTTATAGACTTCGCAAGGTAACGTTTTCGGCCCTACCCTTTCGACCTTCAGCCATCAAAATTTAATAGTATCAATTAGTGATGCCACGGATAGTGATTTTGCCGAATACCGAATACCGAACATTCGGCTACGCTCTTGGCCGGAATGTTCGGCAAAATATGTGTACATTTCGCGGGTGACAGGTTACGACCTTTACATTGCGGTGAGTGCGGTAGCGACACCGCGGGCACATTTGTTTTATTTGCGAGTAGATCATGTCACGACACGCATTATTTGTTCATTGTTACATCAAATTGCGTTACTAATTATTACTAAAAAAATATCACTGTTTGTATCACTTTATATGAAAACTGTTCGCCTACATCGGACGGCAGACCTTTACAAGTGGTGGTCAGCAAACGCAAAACAGTATCCAAGCCTGACAAAATTCGCTAAGATTTATCTATCGTCTCCCGGCAGTAGTGTATATAGTGAGAGGCTATTTTCAGAAGCAGGTATAGTTTATGAGGAAAAGAGCAATCGTTTGCTATCAACAAATGCTGAAAAAATTGTTTTCATTCATCACAACTTAACACTGATAGATTTTAAGTATTAAATGTAATAATTTGTGATTAAAATAAATACGTTTTTTTTTCATGATTTGGTATTTAATATTCGGCCAAATACCGAATATTAAATAAAGTAGCCGAATAGGCCGAATACCAAATAGTAGCCGAATATTCGTGGCATCTTTAGTATCAATCCCCCTAATATACAAACCTCCCTGCAAAAGTTCAGAAATTTTCGACAAAATATATAGGAGTTATTAAACTTCAAAGACGGTAAAAGAAATCTTATTGCACATATCCAAACATTCTGTACAGGGAAAAAAAACCAAATATTTTTGAATTTCTTGACGTTTCAAGTTGCCCCGAGTCTAAAAATATAGAAATCTTAGTGGGGCGTTATTTGACCGATCGCCACACTTTCCCTCTGTTATAACAGCCGGGAAAGTAAAAACACTGTCCGAAAAAAAAATGAACAACGGACCGAGAACGGTACGGATCCGACCGAACCTGACTACACTATAAATAAGCAATCATACGGATGAGAGTAAAGCCCTCCAAGACCTGACTCGTACTTAGATTATAAAAATATTGGTATATTGAGGATAAGTACTACACTTACCACTTTAAACTCTGATCTGACCTTCTTTATAATGATTAAATAAAANTATTAATTCATAAATATGTAATAAAGTTATTTGAAATAAACTTTTCCTTTATTTTTCAAAGAAACTTTATTATGTTTTATTTTCTAAAATATTTTCACAAACTGTAACAGAGACATGTCATCAATACCAAATTGATATCATTCTTTCTTCATTGTCTTCAGAAATTCGATAATTTTCAAGTATCGGATTATATAAACAGCTTCAACCAAACTTATTGGTTTTCACAGAAAAATAAATGGATAAGAATTAAATAATAAAAAAAGTTAAGAAATTTCTATATAAAGTTCGTCATTTTACGNGAACGGTACGGATCCGACCGAACCTGACTACACTATAAATAAGCAATCATACGGATGAGAGTAAAGCCCTCCAAGACCTGACTCGTACTTAGATTATAAAAATATTGGTATATTGAGGATAAGTACTACACTTACCACTTTAAACTCTGATCTGACCTTCTTTATAATAATTAAATAAAACATAGAAAATAGTTAAATTCGAAATGAAACCAATCTAGTTTTATATCACTTATCTAATTACTTAAATCTGAAATCTTGAAGCAAACAAAACAATCTAGATTTAGACTTTAAAAAATAAATTCCGAAATGACAATCCTACCGAACACATAATACAGACTTCAATGTTTTGACTAAAAGTAAAATGGCGGTCGATAGTACTCGTCGTTGTCATCGAGAGAGCTATAACATGCCATTCTATGTAGCATAATAGTCAAATGCAAAAATCTTAAATTAATATGAAAAATAATTCTACTTTTTCCACGTTTTTATTATTTTTTGTATTTTTTCGACTAATGCAAAATTATATAATTTAAAGTTAGAAGCGGTCCGACTTTTTTATATTCGATTTAAAAAAATTGTAAAAGATGCGAAATATCACTTTTGAATAATTAAAAAGTATAAATATTAATTTAGAATAGGTTTAATTGGCATAGAAGCTTATTTCCTCGGATGGGAAAAGAAAATTAGTGGAGAGGAAGTAGCGAGTAATGTCCGTCCTGCAATTTATGTTTTTAGCCATCGACTGTCCTAGAAATTGACATCGTAAGTAATCAATTTCGATAATACGAATCGATCGTCTATTAAATCAATTTCATTGTCTGTAGAACTGAAAAATGTCAGTTCCTGTCCGACCGGCTCCTCCCAAGCCTGTTCCTAAACCCGGTAAATACCATTTTTCTTATATTTTTTACCTAAATATTAAGATAAATTGAAATTATCGAGCCGATCGACACATCTATCGTATGAATCATTCCTATCGATCGATCGATCGATCGTATTGATCGATTCGTTTCGTTTATAATTATCGTGTTTAGATTAATGAATTGTATATTAAACGGTCACGTGTTATTAAAACTGAGGTTAAAGGTTAAATGACATAAAATACGATCTTGTACTGTTAAAATTAAAAAGATAAATTAAGGATTCTTTTAATGAATCTCTAAAGGTTTATTGTTACAATTATGTAACTTACAGTATTAAATTAAATACCCATACTTTAATACAGTACAATCTAAAAATAACTGGTTTTATATTACACAATAATATATAATTACATGTTAGTTTTTGTTTAATTTTTTAAAAAGTTATTTATTATTAGTTCCAAGTAAAAGTTTTGAAAGTTTACATGGTTATTTATTAAACAAGCTAGGAAATTAAGGACTATCTGTAATACCTGTTGTCTTGTATATGTATGTTCCTGACAAATTGGACATTAAAAGTACTTAAAAATTAAGAGAGAGATTAGGGAATATTCTTACGTTCTGAATCGGTATGGAAACTAAGAGTTGGAATTTCGTACTTATTTAAAAAACTAGCGCGTGTGATGGTGGCGGACTGTTGGCTATCTTTTAGTTGGACTTTGATGTCTTCTCGATAGTTAATTTTCCTTATAAAATGCAGATAAGGAGGAAAAGCATACAAATTTAGTTAAATTGTAAGAATTTTTGATATTATTAAACTTTAATTTTGCATACATTATTTGTCTGAATTATGTAATTATTCTATAAGAATTAAACTGTTTATTCATAACAGTAGTTAAAGTCTTATTCGCCACACAATGCTCTCATATTAAAGTGAGTCTTAAAATTATATATAAATGTATGTTTGTGTGTATTTATCAAAAAAATAATGTCTATGAACAGTGAAAATAATCTAAAAAGATTACTTTCACAGTTTAAGATATGTGTAGTTTTTAATTCTTTTTACCTCTGTCCTTACTCTTACAAATTTCTGTGTGTACCTGTCTACTTGGACTAATAGGGCTTATTATACTGGTGCGTTTTGTGATTAGCAAATAGAGATTATGTTATGGAGTTGAAAGCTATTCGATGCAGTCAGAGTAAAAATGAGTAAAAAATGTACTGACTCTGACTGCAATCTCAGTATAAACTTAATTATAGGTTGTAAGTTTAAAAATAATTTGATGGTTCACATAGTGGTAATGATTTTCTCTTATTGTATCATTGTCAAATCATGTATTATTAAAGTATTTAAATATGGTTATTTAATATGTTTGCTATACAGCAGGCATGTACAACTTAAGTTTATTTAGAACCTTATTATGTAAATTTTTCTAATAGCACTAAAATGTGCTGTAGCATTAAGCAAAAATACTTTTATCAAATTCAGGCAGTGAGCCACAATTAACTTGTAGGCTGTGTGTTATGTAACCCTACTGTAAAATATTATTATTGTTAGATCAGTAAGTGTTCTTAAAGTAAAGTGCAAAGCTCCTCTTTTTTCTGCTTCATGTTACGGATGTAATATTTCTTCGTGATTAAAATAAATACGTTTTTTTTTCATGATTTGGTATTCGATATNATTATAGGCTATTTCACCTCATTTGTGGCACGTTGCGGTGGCGAAAAAACTGACCACGCGGGTCGTAGCTTGGTGACCCCTGGTCTAGTATAACAGACAAAGCAGTTCCAGTCAGAACAATTTTGCACTTGGATCAGCTCCAACAGTTCCAGTTCATGAACCGGAACTGGATTTTCTCCACCTTTAATCCAGAGTTCGAAAATATTGACTAGTATAATGTAGGAAACTTCAATATCCTGTTATTCAAAACTTTAAGTTGTTGCCTAAAAAAAATTGAAATTAAACTGAGGCTTATTACTACGAGCGTGTTTCAAACGACATTTCACAAAACGTAAATATTTCGGCGAAGGAGAAAAGAAATCTTAAGTAAAACGAAAAATATCGATAACACAAGAACGAATGGTCGGAAGTCGATGAAATTTGACACGTAGATCAAAAAAGTTAGCAGATGACGACGATNTTACATTTTAAAAAGTAATTTTAATCCTCTTAAAATTTCATAACTTATTTGAATTAGCCAGATGAATTATCCTTTGAAGAAGGAGACACACTTTATATTTTAGATATGTTAACTGATCCTAATTGGTGGAAAGCAAAATGTGGTAAAAATACAGGATTAATACCAAGTAATTACGGTAATAAAATAAATTTTCTCCATTTAAAAAAAAAATTTATTTTAGATATTTCTTAATTATTCATAAATAAAAAAAAATTAATATATTTTTCAGTTGAGGATAATACAGAAGAAATATTACATCCGTTACACGAAGCAGCAAAAAGAGGAGCTTTGCACTTACTACAAGAACATTTACTAAACAAAGTAGGTTCTAAAAAATTACTTTTGTACAATAAAATTTACTTTATTTTTTGACATTAATGTATTATAATTTTATTTTTAAATTGTTTACTGTATTATTTATGCAGTTTTATCAATTGATGCATTCGGATAATACAGTAGATTCTTGCTTCTACTTCCTGCTGATACAAATTTTCTATTATAACTGTATGAAATATTGTATTTGGTAAGAGGTATGGAGTAAAAATTATGGAGTTGAAAGCTATTCGATGCAGTCAGAGTAAAAATGAGTAAAAAATGTACTGACTCTGACTGCAATCTCAGTATAAACTTAATTATAGGTTGTAAGTTTAATATCTGGGAACATACAGTAACCTTGGTTTATAACATAGATGTTGGTCTTTCTTCTTCTTTCTTCTTTTGTCCCTACTAGCATTTGGTTGGGTGCATCCACGCGACCAGTATGCTGCTGTGGGTACCACAGGAAGTCGAGCTTTCTTTACAATGCCCCTCCAATGCCCTCGTTCCATGGCTTCTGCTTTCGCCTGCCTCAGATCAAGAGATGTTGGTAAACATGACAATTATATTTTTGTGATGGTATGACAGTCTTACTTAATAATTGTTTACCAGCATCCAATTACATTATAAAAGCAAGGATCTATTGTATTATTACATCTGCTAATTTCAATTATAAACAGAAACCTAATGCTAATTTTAGGTGTCTGTTAATGGATTAGACAAAGCTGGATGTACTGCACTCCATTGGGCTGCACATGCTGGTTATTTAGAATGTGTAAATGAATTATTAAAAGTGCCTTCAATTGAAATTAATGTTCAAGTAAGAACTTTATTATAAATTTTCATATTTAAAATTATATGTGTTCGTTTCGTCAAGTGGATGAAAGACATGTGTTATCTGAAGTAACACTTATGGAATGGTCACCAAAAATGGATCTGATTGCTCTTGCTACAATGCAGGGTGAAGTGCTTTTACATCGTTTGTCTTGGCAGAAAGTTTGGGCATTGTCTGCAATTGGTGGAAGAGATAAAGAAGTAAAAATCGAAGTTCTTTCTTGGCGCCCAGATGGAAAGATTCTTGCAGTTGCTTATGAAACTGGTATTTCAGTTACCTTTTTAATAATATATTTTAATTTAATTATTAAATGTATTAAATTGGTTCTATACATTAATCTTTCTTAAAAAATGTTTTAATGATTCTATTGATGATAATATATAATATATATATTTTTGGCTTAATAATTTTTCTGTGAGATGCATATTTTTTGAGTTATTTCACTGGACTTATTTAAATAAGTCCANATCATTATTTAATTATGAGATGCTACCCTCCACTTTATATTAAGCCTATTGTTTTCATGCAGTTTCTAATAAATCAGTTGATATTCAGCCAAATTTTCAGTAACAGTAACATCTAAATATCTGAATAATTCTTCAGTATTTGATTGATTAAAAATTATTCAGTCCATCCCTTTATACACATTTCACACATACATTGTATGCAATATTTCTTATTTATACTCCATACAAATTTTATTATGTCCTACATACAGGATATCAGAGTTTCAGCCCATCATGCAAATTTAATTTTGGGAGTGTATTAAGACAGGTTATCGTGGCATAATTTTACATAGATATTTATAAAGAAAATATGCTTAAAATTAGTTATATAAATAAATTATCTTACCTGAAAGTTCATGAGATCACAAAAAGTGAAAAAAAATCTAAAAAAATCAAGGTTTCTGATGTTTATTCTGTAAGAATTACAAAAACAATGACTGATTTTTTCCATACAAATTATTTGTATTCCCTAGAAGTGAATTAGTCACTGGCATTTATGGATTAAAGAAAGAAGTTATAGAAAACTGAATTAATTTAGCATCTTACATATAGGACATTTGGCATAAATGGGTTAAGGAAAAATTCCCAGAAGAATGCAGTTGTTTGCTGCAAGAAATGGATAGTTCGCACGATTTAAAAATCATGCTGGTTTTCATAGTGTGCAAGTTCAGAAGAGGCTGCAAGTGCCAAAAAATATTTTGTGCTACAAAACATTTAATTGAAAGTCCATACTTGCTAGATCAAGTTTTTAATGCTGATGAAACAAGCATCTTTTATAATAAAATGCAGTTTCAAAATTTGAAATTGCATTTTATAAATTTGAAATCTCCTCTAATGAAACATACATTTAATGTTTCATTAGATGGAAAACATTGCCTGGGCCTAAGGCATCCAAAAACTAGAATAATGCTATTATGTGAGGGAAATGTATCTGGAACTTATAAGCTTAAGCCTTTTCTCTTACACCACTCAGAAAATCCACAGGCATTAAAGAAAATGACAAAAGCAATACTGCCACTCCAAATGTAAAAGTAGTGTACCTCCCTCCTAATGCTCAGCATTGCTGCAGTCAATGGACCAGGAAATGATTGCCAACTTCAAGGTGTATTATTTAAGAAAAACATTTGGAATTGAAGTGCTGGACACAAAATTGGCACCAATGTAAGAAGTCATATAATATTTACTATGCAATAAGGAATATTGCAAAGACATGGGATGATGCCATCAAAATGTGCATGCAAAGTGTATGGAAAAAAGTATGTCTACCGTTCATTCTTGATTTCCCTTATTTCAAGAAGTATGATACATTTGAAGAAGTGAGCAAAAAGATTGTGTTACTTGCAAAGCAGGTGGATATGGAATTGGAAGAGAATTGATTCTTATTCTTAGCAGCTATTCAATACTGATCTAACTGAATTGGAAGCTTAAAAAGTTGCAGAAGAAGAAAAGCACAAAAGCACAGAAGCAGAGCTTGAACCAAAACAGTTTATAATCAGAGAAATGGCCAAAGCATTTCATGAAATAAACATTTTTTTGTTTCTAAAGTTTGAAAAATGGATTCAACATATGAGGGCTATTTTTTTAAATAAGGTCCGTTTGTGAATGAGAGTGAGAATGACTTGTAATTGCAGCAGTGTGCATGAGCATCTGCTTTCAACATGTTTTGCACATGTTTAGGTGCCATTTGCAGCCGTATCGTCTCTCTGTGTGTGGAACTGTAGAAGTTTATAATGTTTAAGAAAATTGAGTCGCCTGCCAACTGTATGATACAATCTGTTATTCTATTTCAGCACGATCATGGTAACTGTCTTTAGGGACAGGAAAGGGACTTTGTTAGTGGATTTTATGCCAAGAGGCACAACAATCATTTCTGATGCTTATTTTGACCTTGAGAAAACTCCGCCGTGCCATACAAGACAAGCAGCATGGCCTAATGGGTTCCGGTGACAGGCAGTAGATTTCTTTGAAGTTGGAATTTTAAAAATTTTTGAGCAGTATGACAAATGTTTGAACAAAAATGGAAATTATGTAGAAAAGTAGATAAAAGTATGTAGAATATGGGAAAAAATATATTTTAATGATATTTACAGTATTTTTCTTCTTATTAAAAAATGAACCGTATTTAAAAAATAGCTCTCATATCTTCTATTTTTAAGTTGCAAAGAATAGTAGAAGACAGTGTTGCTTATTATAAAAAAATATTTGAAGAGAAGAAAAGAGCTGCCAACCAAATCTCTTGTGATAGATTTTTGAAGAAAATTGACCAGTCATCAACCAGACATTACATTACCTGGTTCTAGTGGTAAACTTTAGCCTTTAGCCTTCCTCCTGAAGAATCTGATATTGATAATCCACAGCTCACTGCCTCATCCCAATCATCTGTCTCTAATAAGCAGGCTCAGTTGGCTATCATTGAGCATGTACATTTAACAAAATTATACACATTAATATCTTATATTTTATAACAAGACATGGACTGTGTAAGGATAGGCTAGGCCAGGGCTTCTTAAACTTTTTTTATTCACGACTCCATTTATGATTGTGATTTTTTTTTGCGACCCAAAAAATATAAAATAAAGATATATACAAATTTGCAAAAACAATAATGGTGTACTACCACAGTTCACTCTTGTGTTACAATGGAACAGAGACAACTGAATACACTGAAAAGCAACAATAATACACTAGTTCACGCTACAATCAGTGTTGCTGAGTCGTCGTCTCGATACACCAGAAGTGACACAAAGCGCAACTCATGAAACCTATGACACAAAGCGTGTCATTTTCAAACTCTCACAAATTGTTTTCAATATTTTGCATTAAAATCTTATGATTTCAAGATTTCGCTAAGCAACCCCAAATGGGGTTGCAGCCCATAGTTTAAGAAGCCCTGGGCTAAGCTATGCTATGAATGGCAAATTTGACTTACATAGTGCATAATTGCCAACCATCAGCATTTTGTTCACTCCATCAGTGGATAAGCTGTTTTTCCCTTTCATCAGTGTTTTTAAAGAATTTGTTATCACATAAATACTTCATTTAACAAATCTAACTCCAATATATATGCCAAAGACATTGTATGCATTTTATTACAAATGACTGAAGCGAATCAGAATGACAGAATCAAAATATTAATATTTTTGAAGAAATTCTCAGATTTCTTTAAAAATATTAATATATATATATATATATTAATCTTAGTTCTTTCCCAATTAAAGAAATCTGAGAATATATATATATGAGAATATTATTATTTTACAAAGATTTGTAATCATTGTAAAATAGTAAGGCTGATGATGATGACATAGCATTACAGGGCCTCCTCTGCATTGCCGTGTGGCAAAAGGAAAAGATATTCAATATGGTAAGAAAAAGACAGAGATAGGAAATAAATAACAAGAAAAATTATTGTCCTTAATAATTGCAGTGAAAGACTATAAATTGACTGTTACGCAACTGTAGATTTATGATATGTCCCGTATAATATTTGATCCTTTTTAAATTTTGATGTTAAAGAATATAAAGCCATACTCTTGATAGTGTTTATTGCAATAGCTTTATAAGATATCATATGTAGAGATAACATTAAATTTTGTTTATTAAAGATATTTAATATAAACATTGTGTAATATCAATGTTAATAAAAATTTTTGCTTTCTATGCTGTCAGAATTTTTCTACCAGCATCCCATCTATTCCCCATTCTAAGGGTTGGGAAGTATGATAGTGGGTTATGGAATGATATATTTACATAACTTGAGGACTGTCTGTAAATCTTGTTTATAATAAAAATATTCTGCATTCAAGTATTGTGTAAAATTATATATTATAGTAACGTTAAAGGTTAAATTTTAAAATTGCTGGAAATGAAAATTCCTAATGAAAGCTTTATTTATTAGAATAAATTGATGGATACACCATTGCATTCAGCAGCATGGAAAGGACATAGTAATATTGTTAAAGTATTATTAGATTCTGGTATGTATATATATATTTATTAAGTTTTTATCTGAGGTAGTTGTAATTTTATGACTGGCTGCCAGTTCTCGGCCATTATTTTATTTTAATCATATTATTTATACTGTTGAAGAATATTGTTCATTTTAATATTGTATTCAATGCAAAATTTTTATTGGAATTTTTAATATTAGCTTTTTTACTATATTTTTCAATTATAATTTTATAATTATTATGCAAATGTGTTTATTTCAATAATTTATGTATTGTATGTGACAAGCAGTGCCATGACTAGCCATTCCTGTGCCCTGTGCAAGAATTTTCATTTAGGTCCCTTAATTAATTAGGTTTGGGAAAATAATAAAACAAATACATGCATTTTGGGCCACCCCTCCAAGTTGGCCCTGTGCAGGTGCACCTGTTGCACCTGCCTAGTTATGGCACTGATGACAAGTATTTGGAAATTTTTGTTTTTTTATATAAAAAATACAAAAGATATGAAATGAAAAAATTATATTATAATTTATCATAAATTAAGTAATTATAATTTACTAAATAAAAATGTAATTTCATGTAGTAAATTTACATAATAACTGTATTTGTTATATTTTATGAGAGAAAATATATTATGTTTTAAATATAATACAGTAAATCTCCAATTATCCAAATTAATTGGAACGTGGGGTCATCTGAATGTACAGACTATCTAGATCAGTGTTTTTCAACCTGTGGGTTGTGACCCCCAGGGGGTCATAAGTAAAAGAAAAAGACAAGTGTTTGTAGGTCCTACACTACACTAAAAAATTACAATTTCAGTGAGAAGGCTGCCTGTTTATTTTACAGTACAATTGGTTTTTTGATCAATATTTAAATCTCAACAGAAAGAAAATTAAATATGTAGTTTTTAAAATCACTGACATAGTTTTAATATGGTCATGGGGTCGCCATAATTTTTTTAACTTGTAAAGGGGTCGTGTATTCAAGAAGGTTGAAAAACACTGATCTGGATAATTGGATTTTTACTTGAAATAGTCTTTTTTTTCTTATCCAAACATCCCATTAGGTAGGTGTATATAATTGAGTGCAAATAATGGGCATGTTTACTAGTAAAGCTGCTTTACTTAAGCTGCTGGAGGGTGCTTTAAGCAATTTCTGCTTTTGTAGGAAACATTTCTACACCTTAGCTCCGTGGTACCCAACTCATAGCTCACGAGCAATATGTTGCTCGCGTACCATTTTAATGTGACTCGTGTATTCAGATTCATCACATTTATTAAAAGTAAAATATTTTAAAAAATTATATATGTATATAAATTATGAACTGATGAATGGTTTCAATTAGGTATAAAAATATTTGTTGGATTTATTTTAAGTGTTAATATACTAACAATTATATTTATTCTATAGTTGCCCTAATTATGTCTGAATATGAGCCAGAGAAAAAGAAAAAACAGACATACACTTACAATTTTTAAGAAGATTGGGAAGAGAAATATTTTAAAATTCATTTTAAGAACAAATGTATTTGTTTGATTTTGCGGTTCAACAGTTGCTATTGGAGAAAAGTACAATGGAGAATGACATTTTACAACAATTCATAAAAAATATGATACTGAATATTCTATTCATGGCAGCTTAAGAAAATCTAAAGTGAAAAAATGAAAAACCACATTAGTTGCCCGACAACAATTTACTAGGTCCATGACTAAATCAAGTGCTGTTATACTTGCTTCATTTAAGATTGCACATATATTTGCAATGCACAAACAATCGTTTGACAATGGCAACATAATTAAAGAAGCAATGCTTGCTGCATCAGAAACATTGTTTCAAGAATTTAAAATAAGAAGTTAATTATGTCAGCTTTTGAAGATATTCAATTATCAAGAAATTCGGTTAGTCATAGAATAGAAGCAATGTCTTAAAATATCAAATCACAAAGAAAAAAAGATATAGAAAAATGTGTTTTTTTTAGTTTACAATGTTTAAAATCAACAGACATCTGCAATATTGCTCAAGTAAATATTTTTGTAAAGATGGTCTTTAATGATTGCTCAGTAAATGAAGATATACTTTTAGTTTTGCCACTATGAGGAAATACATGTGGAAAGAACATATGCCAAGTTATTAAAAACTACATTAAAAAAATTAATCTGCCCTTCAAAAAATTGTGTCCATAACAACTGACAGAGCACCTGCCATGATTGGTTCTGGTGTTGGCTTCATTAAATTATGTATGATACTGAGTTCCCAAATTTTTTTCATTATCACTGCATCATTCATCAACAGGCATTATGTACAAAAGTGTTGCATTATGAACATATCGTAAAAGTCGTTCTAAAAATTATAAATTCTATTCAAGCCAGATCACTTCAGAGCAGATTATTCAAAATGCTGACTGATGAGCTTGATTCAGCACTTGTGAACCTCACTACATTTAGCATTTCAGTGGCTAACTTAAAGAAGAAATAACTTAACTGTCTTTTAACAAAGTGGCTTTGAGCAGCTTTACTAGGAAACATGCCCAATATATTAAACATAGAAATATATCTACAAATGAATATAGTTTATTTTTTTCTAAATGTAGAAAATACTTTTCATACATATACAGTATATATACATATATGCCTATTTATGTTTAACAAAGTTTGAAGGCAATCCAGATAATCAGCATTTAGATAATTGGAGTTTTACTGTAATTAGATACGAATAATAATAATAATCATAAACAATTTATAAATTTTGTAATCTCATTTAATCTTGCATTGTTGAGAAAACATCATGGTTATAAAAAAGATACTAAATAAAAGAAAGTGTTTAAGATGCTTTCAGTGACATAATTTTCTGAGTTGAAAAATCAAACTTTGCTGTTTGTATATTTTCTCCTCCCTCTATATTTTAAAATTATTAATTTAAAATAAATCAAAATTATTTAATTATACAAGTGCAGTTTTTTCAACCTCTGATGGTCCATAAAACAAAGACAAATGTAAATAACAAAACGAATTTATTACCAAAAGTTTACTTTTTGACATAATCACTGTGAAGATTGAGGCATATGTCATATCTGTGGATGAGCTTTCAAACCCCTCTTCGTAGAATGTTGCCGCCAGTGACTTGAGATGGACCTTAACATTGTTTTGAAGATCATCATTAGTCTCGAACTTCTGCCCTCCTAGCCACAATTTTAATTACTTCACTTTCGTTTATGTAACAAATTAGAGAAAATAGAACAATCTTAGCCAGGAATGTGTAAACCTTCCAGTCATAACTATCAACATCTATTGTTCTCTGCAGGAGGTACAAATATTTAGAGTATTGGTGCTAGGAGAAGAAGAGATGGGACAAAGCCAGTATCAAGTGATGTGCTTTGTTACACGATTCAGTAAAAATGAATTTATTTCTGCTGATGCAATGTCTAAACTTAGACAGGTATTTCTTTTTGTTAAATGAAGCTCATCTTGCAGAAAAGTTTACAGTTAACGTCCAACTTTCATCACTTGTTTTAGGTCCCTGAAATACCTATAACCTTAACTCATGAACATCCAATCACAAGGTGGAAATTCCCCACAAAAAGCTATAAAAGACAGTTCTTACCCCTCTCGGGGGAGTCTCTTAATGAATGCCAGACCAACGACATCGCGCCGATTCTCTGAACTCACTGGATTCCAATCTACGATCAACGATAACAGATCATCACCAAAGTCGCAAACTTTATATAATTGTGCTCGTTTGGATTAAACCTACTTTCCTTTGGACATTTAAGTGCCTCCACGGACTTACTTGTCACGGAACCTACAAAGAGGTATGAAAAGCGTGAAACTCTCTCTCTCTCGAGCATATTAGGTGGTTTAGAAACGCAATTTGTGTAGTCTTTTGTCTAATTCGCTTATTTTAATAAATTGTTGTTATATTTGTTATAAAGGGTAGACTCCTTTACTCGATCACGCCCTTCACCTTATCGTCGACCCCAAATTTCTCTCCCTCCACTCGCCTGACATTCGAGTCCCCAACCAAAGGTACTGTTATCATGAAACAAGCTATCCTGACAGTGAGCAGGTTTAACAACCTGTTGTCCATACAGGGAAAGTCGATGGTTCCTGACCTCCCGAGCGGTTCACAAATGCCTCAATCTTCATGGTGATTATGTCAAAAAGTAAACTTTTGGTAATAAATTCATTTTGTTATTTACATTTGTCTTTGTTTTATGGACCATTGGAGGTTGGAAAAAACTACCTATGTAGTATTCATCTATTGATAAGTTTAATTATCAATAGATGAATACTACATAAAAGTTTATATTAGATGTAAATTAATTTAGTTATCTTGATTCTTTTGTCCATATTAGTTAAGTATATTACTATTATGAATGCTTAAATGAGTTATTAGTAAAATTTATTTTCAAATATAATTAGCAAATGTTATCAGAATATTTAAATTCTCAATTATATTATTTTTATTACATTAATTCTGTTTATAAACACAGAATTAATGTAATAAAAATACTATAATTGAAAATTTAAATATTCTGATAAAATTATGCAAAATTATATATAAATTAAATTATATCAAATTTGATTTTATATATATTGAACTCAATACGTAAAGAATTCATTTTATGTATAATAATTTTATATTATTTAAAGGTGCTGATCCAAATTTGAGAAATATTGAAAACAAAACACCATTTGACTTGGCAAAAGATCCACTCACAGCTTCTATACTTAAACCATATGCCAATAGAAACTGTAAGCATTATTTACTTATTATTTTATATGCTAATACTTTATAATGACATTAATCTCATAATTATTGGATAATAATTAATAATAATAAGTATAATTGAAATGAAAATTGTGAATAATCTAGTCATAAATTTATGGGTATTGAAAATTATATGTTGTTTCAAAAAATGTTCTTAAAAAATATAAGTTTTTTAAAATAATAAAAATATGAAGTCTTTATATTAACCGGATTTGATGTATATTTTGATTCCTTATCTAATGACAATAAAGAAACACAACTTATTATAAAAGTCCATTTCATTAATGCATTAATGCAAAAAGAAAAATAAAATTTTAAAAGGAGACTTTATTTATAAATAGTATTATTTTAAAAAAATATTATTTTGCACATTTTATAGAAACAAATTTTAAAGATTATGTTTTTTTTTTCTTTTAATTAAAATATATGTTATTTTTTTTCAATTCTAAGATGCACCAGATTTTTAAATTTTATTTTAAGATTGTTTTATAGAGAAGAAAAGTTTTTAAATAATTAATGCTATGAAGTTTTGTTGAATGAAAGAAAAATATTACTAATACCATGTAATAGATAATATTCAATAGTTCTGTTTCCATGCTCTTTTTCAAATACAATAACTTTTCTTTTAATGTTCCATGATAATGTTAACTTGAATTTTAAATGTTAAAAAAGAAATTAAATGCTTGTTATTATCAAAGCTTATTTGAGATGATACAATTATTGAGCAATATACCATGAAAACATTCAATATTAGTTTATGATTCATCATATGGTCTACTTGCAATAATTGCTTTTTGTTTTGGACTGCAAATGTAAATGTCATCAATTGTAAGAGATTCTATTTCACACAAGCAAAAGGAGATAAGAAAAATGCATATTACAGTTGAGAAAATATGGAAATTTCTGATAAATATTACAGTATAATTGCATTTATTATTTATTAAAAACTTTTTTCTGTATAAAAAAAAATCGAAATGCAAATGAGGTATTAAAACTTTAGTATGATGTAAATTTCTCTCCAAATGAAAAGAATTGTACAAAGAAGATATATAATGGCTTAAAACAATTTGTTGTTTAAATGTTAAATAATTTACAAACTTTATTTCAATTTTGTTTTTAATCTGTACAATTCAATTTGTCACATTTTTATTTAATTTTTGAAATTTCAAATTGAATTTAATATAAATCTTAATTTTTTGAAAAATTTTTATGAGCTTAAAAAATTATTTAATTGTTATTTTCTCAGTGTGGGAATTATTCTTTGTTGTCATTGTTAATTATTATTAGATATAAAAAATTTTTCTTGATATTGTCTGAAAACAGTTAAGTGAGCACTTTGTTCTCTAAACTTAGATTGATCTTTAGTTGATTACATATAGAGATGTTTGAGTTTGGCAATGCTAGGAGCCAGCATTGCAAAAAACATGGTACAGTGGAACCCCGGTTAACGAACGTCCTGGTTATTTACCAAATTGGTTAACGAACTTTTATTTTGCAAAAATTTTGTCTCGGATAACGAACGTAACGGTATTTTGTGTCAAATTTTAGTTGGTGTTAGGCATGCGTGAGTTAAGCATTGCTTTTCCGAGTGTTTGTGCTATACTTCTTTTTTCAGTTTTGTGATTTATATATTTAATCAATATGGCATCCAAGAAAGAAAAAAGTCATAGTGGCAATAGAAAACGACAATGCAATATGAACGACAATGTGCTATTGCATTTGAGAAAAATTTTGATTAAAATAGTAAAACAATCAACTTTAGATCAATTTCTTGTTTCTTACGGAAAGAGTTTGTTTGTTTTGTTAAGTTATGGCAACGTAACACTTGGGTGATCTGTCTAGGGAGAATGCCTTCTGGTAGGCATTTTTAAGGGAAACTGGCCCCTATTTAGGTGTTACAGACGTGGAGAAATCCCAGAAAACTCCATGTGGCCAGTCTGAGCAAGGTGCGAACCCACGAACGAACTCCTTGTGTTCAAGGTACAAAGACCACTTAGCCACTGGTGGGGTTTTTACCGAAAAAGACTTCGACTCGAAGAATCTTTCGATGAAGTGCTACCCATTATTTTTTTTTGGAGGGGATTTCCCTTCTAAGCATTAAGGTTCGTATATCTCCATTTTTCTGCCAGCAACTACAACAAACGAAGGTATGTACAGTGCTATTTTATTAAACAAAGTTTACATGTTTGTTGCTGTAATGATAGATATTACGTTTTCCTACATTTTCATCAAAGAAAATTATTGTATATTACAAATAAAATGACAAAAATTTCGGAGACTAGAACGGATTAATTGCGTTTGCATTAATTTCTATGGGAAAAATTGCTTCGGTTAACGAACAATTCAGTTAACGAACGGAGTCGCGGAACGGATTAAGTTTGTTAACCGGGGTTCCACTGTATCTCCTGGTGTTTCCAAGTCTGACTCAGAAACACCAGTACTTAAGTAGTATTTTTATACATGTGCACATGTGTGTGATACCTAAAGAAAGTGTTACTTAAAAGGATGCAAGCTGCTAGCTCATACAGATTATTTACAGAAATAATCAAATAATAAGCATATAACACATTAAAAACTTAGTTATATAAAAAGTATTATGTACTTAGATATTATACTGTAAAATACATTTTAGATAATATTATCAATTTACACCAAATAACTGTTACAAAGCTATAATTACAAATAAAATTATCCATTATAACATACTAGATATTATAGTCATTGACAAAATAAAACCATGTGCATTTATAGACTTATTCAAAGCAAATACCACATATAAAATATTTGTTATGTTGAAAACATAAGTAAATTCACTGAACTTGCCCAAGTAATAAATCATCTATGGAACATGGATAAGCTTTAAATTACAAAACCGGTTAGGTTATCACAATTTAATGTATGTATAAGATGTTTGTTGTATTTATAGTGTACTCTTCCATTGTTTCAAACAGCAAACATTATATAGAAATCTAATATTCCCATTCCTTAATAATAGCATTTACATCATACAGTAAAAAAAGTAATATTAAATATATACAAATATATATATATTCCACATAATCAAAGACATTTAAACACAGATTCATATATTAATTACACATGCGAAATCAATTGTTCTAAGTAACTATGCATTGATTTCAATGCAAACTAATATTTCAATCAAGTTTCCTATGTATATACATTATTATCATGATAACAACAAAAACAAGGACATTCATGAATCGAGCATTCCACACACATATGTAGTTTTTCTTCATATTAAACACAAACATACACCAAATACAAAAAGAACATGAAACATAGTGAGCAAAATGCTTGTACATTTGATAACAATATCAATAAAGTTTATTTGCTAATTTTGAAACAGGAAAATATTTGCATTAATGAAACTAAACAAGATATGACATAAAAATGCTAGCCTCAATGATAATTTTGGTATTAATGTTTTTTATGCAAATGTCTTCCACATGTCCCAAAATGTTACCATATTAGATTTGATTGCATTTGGACATTCAAATCTCTCTAGACTGTGTTAATAGAGGTACTGTACTTTCATTACAAAGACCTAGTACATCTACTTCTACTGAAGACCTTCAGTAAATCAAACTTAATGAGACTATATTATCAAATTTTATTTTATTCTATTGTATAATGTTTGAGAATAATTTATTTAATCAATTTGAAGAAAGTTGTTTAAAATATATTTAATTACCTAAGAATACGGTAAAAGAAAGATTTGATTTATAAAATAAAAATTTAATTTTGGAAAATCTTAGCTGCCTTTTGAATATTTATTGTATAATTGTAATTTTGAAATGTTTTGATGGTGAGCGACTAATTAAAATATCTCGGAATACATAACTATAAAGTATTTTATTTCCTGTAAATGTAAACTTGAAGTGTTTTCTCTCTTGTTACCTAATAAAACAAGTATAGATATAAACAAGGATTTCACCACCCAAAATTCTCAGAGTTCCACAGGAAGATCACTAACTACAGAACTGAGGATCGAGAATTACATGCAAGCAACATAGATTTACAAGGAAAAGACTGCACACTCCAATATGGAAAAATTTTTTAAAAATGTTTTGAGATTAGGCTATTTGCAACAATCTCCTCTGTTCTTGCAAAATAATATTCTTTAACTTAATATTATTTTGCAAATACCTTCCTTAATTTGAAAATTGTTAAAATTTTATATAGATCTTATTTCATTTTTTGTGTGAGTAATTTATTGAATTTAATTATATTGTTATTCTTATATATTAACAAAATTTTTAAAATATTATTTTTCATTTCCACTCTTTATATATGAATAAGAAGATATCAAATGTCAATAAATAACAAAGTTAAACTTTTTTTACTAGAGTAAATATTTTTGAAGTAGAAATTTCCATTATCTGAATATTAAAAAAAAGTAGCTTGGAAAGAAAGCTTTTAGAGTAATTTTTTTACTGTAATGGTAATAAGGATTTCTATCTGAAAAACATTTAGTTCATTAAAAGTTTTTAAACTCTATTAAGAAAAGAAACTTCTTAGGATATTATATTAATGAGGTAAAAACATTTTTTTTAACATAACATTCCCAAGAATTGAGGTAGCATTAATGTAAATTTTGCATAAAATGGTTCATTGTATCATTGTTATTGTATTCTCTACTAACTAAGGATGTCTGAGAGAGTCCAGACCATGGCATCCTTTTGACATGTATTTTCTGTCTTATTTTTCAATAAACTATCATTATCATTATTTTATTGTAACCTAAGAAGCATTGTTCCAAGTGTTTAAAATTTTTGAAAAATTGTTTACTCTCCACTCTGGGCACTAAGAAGGTCTTTTATTAAAACTCGTATCCGTCGTGGGTTCGGCCACGGCTAGTATGATTATAAAATAATTACATTTATTATAATTATGTAAGTTGTTACATATTTCTATAGATTTGATTATTTCACTTTGTTTTTCAGCTGTTTCGTCCGCTGTTGAAGATTATGGCGATTCTGAAGATTCTGATTAATATTGTTAACATTAAAAGGTTTTATTATATTGGTTTTTCTAAGGTTTGTACTAAAGATTTGTTAGAAAAAAAATATTTTATAAAGGCAATTTATTACAAAATAACTATTTCTTGTATTTTTTAAAAAAAATATTGAAAATTATATGACGTTAAATATAAAATTTTAAACATTCCACTTTTAAAAATAATAAAGAAAAGAAAATTCATTGACTTAAGAATTAGGAATTTTTAAAAATTTATGCTTACCGAAGTTTTTAATATTACTTGAGAAAAATGCAAAAAAGTCATTGAATTTTAAGTAAATTAACTTTGTATTTTAAAGATTTGGAGATAATAGGAAGATAAATTTCTAAAAAGATGTTATATTTTAATCGTTCACATCTGAGAAATGTCTTTTGTAATAATCTATATTAATAAAACGATTTGAATTTTAATAATGTGAAAATTTTTAATTCATTTTCACTCGTATCATTGAGTAGTATCCTATTTTTCTTATGGAAATCAAATGGACTTTAATTAAAGCCCGTATTAGGTTCAGCCGAGCTAATAATGGCTGTATCTAGTGGATAACAAATGGAGGGATTACAATCCCGGGATTTTGAGACTGATTGAGGAAATCCGGATGTTCCGGGATTTGTTCATTACCCGAATTCTTTCTTCTCATTCTCCGGAAATGCAGATATATTCTAATCAAACGGCAAGAATTACACAATGAATTATCTAACAAACCATAAAACGATTGAAATGTTAGTGATACTTTGTTAATTAGCTACAATCAAAAATTTCTCCGAGGTCATCGCGATGTATATTTAAAGCAAAATTATAAGTAATCTTATAATTTTGATTAGATACTTTTTATTAATTTCATTCTGTTTTACTATTTACACTTCAAGAAAACATAACAAAAGTGGAACCAAGGGCGTGACGACATCCACCAAAACGAAGGTGTTTTAATTCTCATTTAAATTGTATTTTATATATTAAATGTTTGTTTTTAACATAAATATATATATTTTTTTGTTTTTAAATACAATTTATGAGGTTAACGCCTGTTTGCACGGTAGTAACCAAATGCGAGTGTTCCTCCGATGCCTATAGCACTTCCAATGGCAAAGAATAATATTCCTAAGCCTACACCAAGACCTAAAAATAATTTTAAATAATATTAGTTTCTACTGATATTTTAAGTATGGTTAAACTTTAATGATTAATGTAGGTTTAGCCTATCGTTTTAAATGATTGATTAATGCGATGCATTTCGATAAAATTTTGGATTTTTTTTCACGGAGTTTTCATAGATTATGTACAGTACCTTCTATGCTAATAAATCGAAAGAAAAACTTCCAATTACATGATATAACATTCTGAAGATTCTGGTAGGGACTTTTTAGAATTGTTTCACAGTTTCGATTAAATTATACAGGTATTAATGGATTAAGATAGCTTTCAACGCGGTTTTATAAAAGAAAAGAATTAGAAACAGATCACTTTATGATCGTCTTTACGTATTATAAAAAGAATACGAAGATCCGATTCTGTAATCGTACCACATTTGAAAATAAACCAGATATACTTACCGTTACTGTATAAAGAATTGGTATCCGAAAGACTGTTCGAACCTACCATTTTAAAATTTAAATATTGTTAAATGCATATATAATAATCATAATTATAATTAACGTGGAGGCAATACTTACTTCTGTAGTATCGATTACAATTTTTTTTCGTCACAGTTACGGCATTTCCACCCTCACGACTAAGAATGCATCGATTATCAATTTCTTCGTTAGCTTCGCAATAATCGAAAGATTGACAGAGGAAAGCTCCCGTTTCGACACACAATTTAGCGCATTGATCCGCATCTACATCTTTCAACATTAAATCACCATTTCCTGTAATTCTTTTACTCGGAATTTGTTTAAAATCGTAAATATATTTTCCTATGGACAAGAAGGGAGCGATCTCGTTAAATTTTTTTTTTATGTTTTGGTTATTTTAGAAAAGTTTCAACACTTACTGGAATAATGAATACAATTAATCGCCGCTGCAACATTTTTCGATTCTTTTCGTTCGTCAGCAATATGAGCGGAATGTAAAAGACATGCCTTTTTCTTGGTATCTTTGTCGTCGCAGAAATCGAAAGATTTACATTTATCTTTGTTTGTCGAACACATTCTAGCGCAGTCATTTTCACTCTCCTCCGATAAAATAACCTCCGCTTTCCTCGTTAACTTTGTACCAGCGTGTTTTTGATAAGCAGAAATGTAATCGCCTGAAGTAATAAAGAATTAAAATCGATAACTTTAATTCCTCTAGCCGAAAATGTATTCGGAACGATCTACTTACGTCCAAAGATGACGCATTGAGTGTCTTTTTTGACGTATTCCAGGTTTATTTCGGCTCTGAATTCACTACTTATTTTACATTCATTCGAAGCGAAACAGTATGATATGGTTTCGCAATCCGGATTATTTCTACAGATACGTCTACAATAAGTTAACGATTGTCTTCCATAGGTAACCACTTTAGTTTTTCCGTCGTCAACTAGTTTATATCCAGCCATTTTTCTCGTAAAATCTCTTTCCCCTATAAAAAAAAGGTTATAAAATGTGTTTTAAAAAATTACTTTAACGAACACCAAATAAGTTAACTAATTTTCGACTTTAAAAGTCAAATTATTCTTAACATACTAAGAGTTTTGTCGTCTTCTCCAACATGATCTGCATCATTGAACGAAATTGCTTCAAAATTATAATACTGAAAGCGAAAGATATTTAATTTATAATTAAATAAATTTTTATAAAGTCATCTCGAGTATTCTAACTTACGTCTTCGAGGTCGCCTTTATGAACTTTCAGATACAACGAAAAACCTCCGAGGATCACTCCTTTAATATCCTTTAACAGATCATCCGTAGAGGCGATGGAAGTCATTGTCACGTTTCCTATGTTTTAAATAAAATGTGTGATATACATTTTAAAAATATAATAAAAAACCGATAATATATATGCCTTACTATCGAATGTCAAACAATCTTTATTAGGCTTTCCCTTAACTTTAGCTTTGGTACTCATATAACACGATTTTCCACAATAGGCGACCGTCCTATAAAATGCAAAACAATATAAGAAAGGCATTATATTAGTTGAGTCGCGTGATCTTTATTCACTACTTACAGACATGGTTTCTCGCCTTCGTATTCTGTACATTTAACGGTACATTCGTGCATATCTGAAGCTGTATCGGCGGTATCGTAGGACTCGAGTTCTTCTTCATTGTCACGCATATTAAATTCCACTTGAAAATAAATATTCTGATTAATATTTTAAGAATTATACGTTACATTTTGTATATACAGCGTGATTTAAAAGTCTCCGTACATAAGCAAAGAATTCACTTTAATTTACAGCCACTTTGTGAGTATTATTACATAGTAAATGCATTTTTTTTATTCGTGGCAAACACGGGATAAATCAGTGTGTGCACACACACGGATCGTATATTCTATTTTCTGTACGGAGATTACTGAAATATTGATTTATGCTGGCTTACAAATCAGTATACAAGCCTATGTATTACACACAATAGCTTGTATTCTGATTTGTAAGCCAGCATGCACTATAACATATAGATTTGCTCGAAATTTATGAGAAAATTTTTACTTTATCCATCATTTTATAAATGATAATCAAAATAAACTGTATCTATTGTATTCAGCGATAAAAATATATTTATTCTTACAAAACGTCGGTGGCCTTTCTACCAGAAGAACTTCTACAGATAACAAATCATATTCAACATCGACCTAAAATATTGTTTTTGTATTTTTATTAATTAGCAATATAAAATTTTTAATTATAATATAATTCAATCTTACAAGTATTCTAGCAATTCTAGAAGGATTTAGGCCTGATTTTGAATAAAGTGTATTTAAGAATTCTTCTTCAATATTTCTGCTTGCCTCTCTCAATGCTGATGCCTCTACTCCGTAGGGAACTGAAATATTAAACAATATAAAAATAAATTTAATGATAATTTTTAATTTATATTGTTTTTTATTGTTTAAATACATACCACTAAATCTTACTGTAAACCATTGAAAATCTTCGTAATTTTTGAAGCATTTACTAACATCAAACAATGCCCAAGAACGTTTGATTTCCGTGATAAATGTGTATAAATTGATTACTATAATATTAGTAACCTAAAAATATTAATAAAAATTCTATTAATAATTTAATTTTATTTATTTTCTTTTTATATTTGAATATATTTACGATGGTTTTTTCTTCATCGCCGTAGAAAGCTATGTTTACTCTTATCGGTATATTATCGGTAACACCGCCAATATTGGTTGTATCCTGTAAATTAGAAATATTAATTAAATGAAAATAAAAACTGCATTTTATAAAAATTAATATTTTTAATTAAATATACATGCCTTACTGTAATAACGAGTTATAACGGTGAATGGAACATATTTACTTCCAAAATACATATCTTGAATTGTTTTCTCATAAATTACTGCGGGGATATTTCGAATTTCCGTCTATAAAATCATCTTTGCTTAAGAAATTTGTAATTATTTTAGTTAATTATAAGAAAAAAAAACACTTACTTCGTCTATATATTGAAAACCTTCATTATTAAATAAGATCTCGGGATGTAGAAGATCGATTTCTCCTTCATCCGGTAATGGAAATGCTGGATAATAATTTTCATTTCTGTCTATCTCACAATCTTCCGTGTCCTCATCGATGACGAAAACAACCTCTAAACATTAGATTTATCACGTGAATTATTTATCGGAACAATCATATATTTTATGTAATTCTCTTACTGTTTGCATTATCCCAAACTATAGTTTCTAGGTCAGCTATTTCTGCTCGTTTTTCCTTTGTTTCGGTTCCAGTTTTCCAAGGTGCAAAGCGATACATGACGAGTCCAGATATTTTATGATACGCTATCTGAATTCAGATTTTTAAGTCATTAAAAAGTTACAATAGTTACAATTGTAAACTAAATATTTACCTGAATCGAGCTGACATAATGAGAATATATGTCTTGACTCTTCAGTGGATAATAAACAATCTCAGCCCTTGCCAAGTGATCTATATCAATGAATTTCGGTACGGGTAATTTATTTTTCGTTTCACGTTTGCATCCAAAGCCTTCTGTAATCTAAAAAAAAAAAGAATTCTGTTTCCACTAAATAAAATATTTTTGGGGTTTGTATATTAAATTCTGAACGAAACATACTCTAATAGCTCCATCGCTGACAACTGGTTTAAAAAGAAAGAAATCAATGGTTTGATTGTATTGAAATTCATTATCTTTTCCTACATATGTAATTCTGGCAGGTACCTTTGCCGGTACACTGACTCCTTCTGGGTTTTTCCAGTCTGAAACTGTCAAACGTAAAACGAGAACATGAAGAAAATGCATGAACAACATCATCTATTTATATTAAAAAACAGATAAACGTACCGGTAAAGTAATAGTTTATTTCATTATCATCATCAACGCATTCTTTCCATTTGTCTACAGGAATTGATCGAACTGTATCATCCTTGCCCAAATATACCTTGAAAGTAATCAACATTCTAAAATAATTACCGAAGATCTGATAAGTGCAATACATATATCAATAGTTCTTAACCTGGGGTGCACGCACTCCCGAGTATACCTTTGATCTAAATGATTTTATTATACAAACGAATTTTTAAAAATCTCTTAAGGTATACATAGTGTTAGACTCGAATACAGGGAGAATACCTCTTATATAAAAAACTTAACAATGTTTTTATGGGTATGGAGAGCGGAGGAAAAGGTTAAGAACAAATGACAAATATATTTTTTAAGTTATAATTTCTAGATAATATATGAAAGCATACCAAATTCTCTTTATTCTTGATGAAATTTTTATAACCTCTCCTTAACAAAGCAGAAGGTCCATAGAGATATCTAACAACGTTATCACCGTCATATTCTTTGTCTAACCAATTCTTTGCTTGATCTTCTAAAAATGGAGGTGCCGCTTCGTCTAACGGTACAGTAGTGCATGTACGGTCTTTAAAAATTAGAAAAATATGTTTAAAAATCTGTTATCGATGTTCGTTAATTCTAACTTAAACAATATACTCACTTATATATGTAAATGCTTCATTGGTTTCTTTGAAGTATCTAAAATCTTTGTAATCACCTCTACGCCATATTTGAATTCTTCCGCTCGACGATGATATATCATAATATTCTTTCATATAAATTGTTTCATTCTATTCAAAAAAAGAAAGTTGATGGAGTTGTATTTTTAATGAAATATCATTCTTTAAGATAAAATTATATGGCTTAACAGGTTACAGAGACTTTCGATAGTGTATCAGTAGATAACCGCGATAAGAAATACGTTTAATCAGTTCAATTCATTGTCTCATGAAGAAGTTTCTAAATTAATTAATCAAAGTTTTCTTTATTATTTTAAAGGTATCTTACCGCTACATAATTGGTAAACAGTACAGAAACTTCGTAGGATTTGATACCGTCAAATATATCAGGAAAAGTATCGTCTGTAATTAAAGTTATACGTCTTATTTCATTGTATAATTATGTAAATAATAAAATCAAATCAAATATTTTACCAGTCGATACTGCATCGGATACGGAACATTCGGAATTCGCATAAGTTAAGAAACACAATACCAGAGATAACAATAAAATGTTCCTCTCCATACTGAAGCTTCTCATGTAAATTTTAAAAAATATATATATATTAATTATTTAAATTATAGTTTCCTAGTTTAAATAATAAAATTAAATATATACATTTTTAATATTTAATTTAGTTTTACGAGTTAAAAATTTATAGTTTTTTAAAAAATATTTTAAAATTAAAACAATATTAATTATAGGTCTATTTAGTTAATTAATTTTTTCTTTTAGACAGAAAAATTTTTAAAAATTTAGCAACGAGTTGCTTAACTTTCCCGAAAATCTTTGGTGGTGCCATCTGTTATCGTGTTTTAATTTAAAATATTTTTATATTTTTAACAATTATAACATTACAAAAAGTTTAATTTTGAGGGGAGGATTGGGTTTTATAAAATGTTGTAAATGCTAATAACCAGTAAAATCGTCGTTAAATCCGAACCTACTGGAGATAGGACACACGACCCACCTTTATCTCCCCATCCCATCTTTCCATCCCCATCTTTAATCACCAAAATTAAATAGCATCGATCTCCTTAGTAACCAAACTTCCGGAAATTTTCGACAAAAAGCGCAGCTTCAAAGAGGGTGAGCACGATTTTGTGCCCCACACACTAACACCCATACATACAGGGAAAAAACCCCGAATTGTTTTTTTATATTTCTTCACGTTTCAAAGTCTCCGAGTCCAAAAATATAAAAAACTGGGTGGTATTATTTTTTGATCGATCGCCATACTTTTCCTCTGTTATATGAAACAGAGCCGGAAAAATAAAAATTATTTTTTAATAAATTACTGCTATTCAATTACATCTTATCTTGCTAATTTGCGTGTGTAAGCGTGTAGACTATACAGTAGTGTTAATTACAGACAATTCTACAGTATCGAATTTTTTCACTAATATCAAAATTCATTACTGAAAATAATACTTGTACTGTACAACTACTATAAAAATAATTTTAGTACCTTTATTAACAGTATCAGAAAGATTACAGTAAGTTAATATTTTTGATAGTGGTACTAAATGCAGCCTTTTAACTATACAAACACTAATTTCCGGGACTGTATCTCGCGAAGGGTCGTGTACAGGCGGTTTCTTTGATATTTTTGCTCCTATAAAGCTTTGATAAGGTTCCAATCGTCTCATTCAAAGGTGTAATTGTACCAAAATTATTACACTTAGCATTGCTTTCGGTAACAATTTTTTAAGATTACACCCGATGAAAATATTTTTATAAATAAATAAATTGTCATTAGTATGATGTAAAGGTTTACTTAATTATAGCAATGCGTAAGACTTTTAGACAAATATTTAAAATGTACAAAAATAATTATTCTTACCTTCTGTACAGTCACCCAGTCGAGGATCGACTGATACAAATATTTAAAATTGATCTCCACCCCCTAATACTTTCAAACAATTAGGGGGCGTAAATATTTATCTAATCGTAGAAAATATACGAACTTTAATATACAGATAATGTATTTTTCTTACCCCTTTATTTATCAATAGGTTCAGTTTAAATAATGATTCCTTTATAAATATATTTTTTCTATTTTAAAATAACTCAAATTTTTAATTTTGAAGTCGATAAAATTTCAATTTTATTGTTTCTTGCTAAATGGGATTCAATTTAATTTCAAGATATTTAATTTTTAATAATTACTCAATTGTTTTTAAGTCAAGGTCGATTGAATACGAAGTTATTATTTGCATTAGTGGTGAATTGGAGCCATTCTATCATATACATTACTATATTGCATTCATACACAGACACATGATTAAATTCTACATTTGATTAAGTCTATTGGGTTTCGCAATGGAAAGAGGAGTGGGTGGACCACCCCACTAAAACAATGTTAAAATGCATTTATTGCAAAAATAATTCGAATTTTTGTGTATAATACTTAGAAATATTTAAATATTCTTATAGTGCCAATTGTATAATGTATTTAATATAATATGAGGGAGAGAAGGAGAGAACAGTGATTTCTTATCTTGATTTTATTACGTGTCTGATTTGCGCTCACCTGTTATCTACTTTTTTTTAAAAAACATCTGGTATATTCTGTATAATAAGGTTACAAATAATATAATTTCTTGTACTTGCTATTCTGGGATTTCTGGTTCGGGTCTGGGTCGGGAACCTCGTAAAGTTTTCGGGAGTGGTCTATCCCGAATATGTCGCGTCCACCCCTTATTAATTATATATGGCCTTTGCACAACCCATGATAGATCTGCAAAACAGGTTTCACTAATGCCCCACAAAAGGAAAAAGTAAAAAACTAAAAAAGAAGCGATCGATAGGTTATTTAGTCAAGATTTCATATTGGCAGGGTCTGTTTAAAACGTGAATAACTTATATTTCTTATGTGCTAAAAAAGATTTTATTGATTTTTTGTACATTAAAAAATATTTTTGCCAAATTTGTTTGTTTAAAAATATAATACAACTTTTTTACATCCGCCAGCGCTGTAATAGATAAAAAAAATATTTTTATCTATCACTAAACACCGGTATTTACGAGTTGGCACCCGACAAACGTGGAGTTTTCTGGGATTTCTTTACACGTTTAACACCTAAATACAGTAGAGCGTCGTTTATCCGAAAATCGGTTAACCGAAAGCATTCCAGTCGGCAAATTTAAATTTTCGCTAGTGCTGTGGCGCTACCATCTTTGGCTATATCTTGGGCTATTCCAATATTCTTTTTTTGCGGGTGTGTGTATTTTAGCTGGCAGCACTGGCACTTTTGTGTGGTGTTTTTCTGAGGAATGTATCGTGCTGAATCGAACGTTTTTGAAACTAGATCAACTTCTAAAGTATTTTTTTTTTTTTGTTTTTATATTTTTCAATATATTTATTTATTTGTACAGAATAAAATAATTTGTAACGATACAATAGCCACGATTATTATTTTAAAAAGTTTTCGTTAGGCTTAACATCGACGAAAATTCAACGCGAAGCGACACGCAACGGAGAAAAATTTTAACACGGGATAGGTTAATATATTTTTTCCTACATATTCGGTTATCCGAAAAATATGTTAACCGAACAACCTCAGTCCCCAATTGATTCGGATAAACGACGCTCTACTGTATAGTCAATTCTCCATAGAAGGTCCTCCCTATTGACAGTCTTTTCTTAGTGGATCACTCTTTCCTCGTCCTTCCGAACCAAAACAATTTTTTTCACACTGATTTTGTTTTCAATTTTTAATATATTGGGGGGTCTCAAAAAGTTAAGTGGGTCTGGCTTCTTTCTACTTCCGATAGGTCTTGCTTTTAATAAGTACACATTAAATATGACATTTAATACAATTAAATTATAAATTTATATCAGATATCAAACTTATAAAAAGGGTGTNGTTTGGAGAGAAAAATATTATTTCTTGATATTTTAATACAATATAAAGATATACTGTAATTCAATTTGTAATGATTTATCATATTAATATTAAATTCTTAAATATATTATATAGATATATAGTTTAATATATAATAAACGTATTGAACTATATATCTATCTAGATTTACAGAAAAAATGAAATTACAGTGGGTGATCGGTTAACGAACATAATCCGTTCCAAGGCTTTGTTCGCTATCCGAATTGTTCGTTAACCGAACCCCCACTGTATTTTTTCAAATCAAATGTTTCAAGTCAAATCAAATGTAAAAAAAGGAATGTTCTTTTCTGCTTTTGAAATTGCGGAATTTTTTTATAATTTCGTCATATTAACTATTCCATAAAAGTACTTGAAAAAATTAGAAAACTCAAGAATGCCTTTCATCCCATCCCCATATTTCTCATATTAGACAAGATACAGAATATCTTTAATAAATTATTTCGCAATAATTTTATGAAAAATAAAATATTAAAACCNTTACAGAAAAAATGAAATTACAGTGGGTGATCGGTTAACGAACATAATCCGTTCCAAGACTTTGTTCGCTATCCGAACTGTTCGTTAACCGATCACCCACTGTATTTTTTCAAATCATATTAATCAAATGTAAAGAAAGGAATGTTCTTTTCTGCTTTCGAAATTGTGGAATTTTTTTATAATTTCGTCATATTAACTATTCCATAAAACTACTTGAAAAAATTAGAAGACTCAAAAATGCCTTTCATCCCATTTCCATATTTCTCATATTAGACAAGATACAGAATATCTTTAATAAATTATTTCGCAATAATTTTATGAAAAATAAAATATTAAAATCGTCTTTTAAATTCTTAATGAATTATTTAAAATAAACGGAGCACGTGTAATAAGTTTTTTGTGACATTTGCTTTCCACTTCCAAGTATTATTGCAGATTTCCAGTAGAAGATTTCCTTTCTTTTTTTTTTTGCTCAGTAATTTAATCTTTATTTAATGCTAACTTTTTAATTAAGTTATTAAATATTAAAGAGAAGATTTTTTTTCTTAATCTCTTCTTCATCTTTCTTTAAAATATTCATTAAAGTTTCGGGCTTTCTGAAATTTCGTTGTTGATTATTAAAAATTTTTTATTTCTATTCTCGAACAAACACTTTGAATTTCAAATTATCTTAATTGTATATTTTTATTACAATATAAGCGTGCAATTTTAAAATAATTCCATTCTAATTTTATGTTCTGTTGTAATTTCATTCTAAGTAAGATTGTGACTGATCAGATTGCATCTAACGCCGCGATAGTCACTTCGGAATTNTTATATCAGATATCAAACTTATAAAAAGGGTGTCTACGTTATTTTTATATTGTTAGAATATCTTTTGATATTTGAATCCGATAAAGGCCTGCCACATGTTGATTCTTTGAACCCTCACCTTCTTATTCTTTACATTTCAGACTTACGGCATAAACTTGTCTATATTTAATAATAATGATGATAAATAGATGAATACATTCTACACGTAGCATATTCAGACAAGAACTATTTTGTCAATGAATAAAATTAATTTCGAGTTGTGAACGAAATTGTACTTTTTTAAATATGAAAATGTTTTACGTTAGATACTTTTCTACTCTCCTGCATTGTTAAAAGATTTATGAGATTAAACAAATTATCAAATCTAAAACTCCTTTTAACTATATAGGAAATATATTCTGATAATTACTTTATATATCTATAGAAAAATTATCTTTAAAAGTTCATATCTCGTTACACCCCTTTTATTGCCAATCAAAGTCTATGTAGATTATTTTCGTTAAATGTCTAATGTAGTGAAAAATTGTTATTTGTTTTTAGATAAAAATTTGAATATATATCTAATAATATGATTTTTTTTCTCCTTGATTTTACGAATTCTGCTAGATTGTGAAGAAAATAGAAAGGAGTGAAAACTCCCTTCTACTTTCTTCCAGTCACTCTTCTTCTTCTTGTTTCTTCCTTTTTTTCACCTCCTCCTTAGCACTCCTTTGGCCTTTTTTCCACGCATCCTTCTATTTCCAGGATTATTCGTTGTATTCTTCTCCTAATCATCTTTTAAACATGATTAAATTACTTTATCTCATTTTTCTCTTTTCCTTCATTTCTACTTGTATTTCTTTTTCTACATCTCCTTATTCTTTATTCTATTTTCTTTCGTTTTACCCACAGTTCAAATCATAGTAAAATCTATATCAATAAACAAAAAAGCTGTATTCTATCAACAAATAGTAATTACTTGTTTATACGAATATTTCTGTCTATATAATGTTTTGAAATGACAAAATACAAAAGTTTTAATTGGTCGAGATAGGATACATGACCACCCCTCTATCTTCCTATTCCCTCGACCTTTAACCACCAAAATTTCATAGCATCAATACCCCTTATGCACAAACTTCCATGCCAAATTTTGTTTCTTAACCATCCTGAGACATTGAACGAAATAGACACTAACTCACACATACACACACAGAAATCTTCCCCGAATTTTTTTTGCTCTTTTCAATTCTAGAGGTCTCAAAACGTGAAGATTTGCAAAGCGATCCAGAAGGGTCAATTTTGACACGATTCCAATACTTTCACACAATACAATACTTGATCACTTATTCTAATTGATTTCCCAGAAATATAGAATATTCTTTGAAAAATTTCGTCTGTATTAAGAAAGATTGCTTCTTTAAGGAATTTTGTTTAAACCATTAAGAGGATCAAAATGCTCCCTTTTAATGGATTAAACAAAATTCCTTAAAGCACTTAATGTGATTAATCAATAGTAGGAATAGGAAGTACGGTACGTCCTTGGAAAAGTTTCTATTAAGAAAAACTTTTTTCCTTTTGTTTTGAGAAATTTAAGGAAATTTGTTCTTTTATTAACAAGAAATATTTACAATTGCCAAAAAGCAGAAAGCATTCGTAGTCTTCTGTAAAGACGTATTCTCACTCCTTAATTAAACACGAAGCGTCATATCTGAACAAGAGAAAGAAGTGTGTACACATTCTTATAAAAAGAAGCATTATATTAGTTGAGTCGCGTGATCTTTATTCACTACTTACAGACATGGTTTCTCGCCTTCGTATTCTGTACATTTAACGGTACATTCGTGCATATCTGNAATTTCAAATTATCTTAATTGTATATTTTTATTACAATATAAGCGTGCAATTTTAAAATAATTCCATTCTAATTTTATGTTCTGTTGTAATTTCATTCTAAGTAAGATTGTGACTGATCAGATTGCATCTAATGCCGCGATAGTCACTTCGGAATTACACGTTGTATGCCTATCTCAGCATATTTAATTTTAAAATTATCATTCCTACGAATATATTCTATTCAATTCCCCTAGGCTCGGATTTCTCTATCTTCTGATTTTATACTTAATAGAAGTTGTTGTTTATCTTGTCCATAAAACTCCAAAAATTGCTTTTTCGTATCGCATGAAAGATTCACTTGAATAAATATACGTACACATAAAGTAAATTAAATTTTTCAAATATTCTTTTTACATTACTTTAATGTAGGAAACGAATAAAGATGCATTTTATGAAATATTTTTCTGCTTTTTTTCAACTTAAAATCTCTATTCGTTTACTTTTTTGCATTTTGTCCTCTTTCAGTTCGTGTTTCTATGCACTTATCTTCGGTTATTTTCTAAAACGGATTAGACCAGACACAAAAATCTTCATCCTTTAACAAATTTTTGCATTTATATCTATAGTTATAAAATAAAACGTTATATAAATAAAATATTCAGCATTTCTTAACTCATATTTCTGAGCTTTCTATTTTTATCTAACATATAAAAGTATTTCCAAAACTGCTTTAGAAATTTAATGGCTTTTGACGAATCAGTTCCAGAAGATAAGCTTTTATTTTATAAATTATTTTTTTAAATGGACCTAACAAAATGGATGAATTATTTTCTTCTTTTTATTTTAATTAAATTTATCGTTTAAATCTGTTTGTTTGTTCGTTCTGAATCTTGATCGTCTTCGGTACAATGTTGAAAAAGACGATCAAGATTGTACTGAAAAAGGATAAAAACTCGCTGTACTTTCTTTATAATTTTCAAATTTTTGAAAAAGTTCGTTACAGTTCTCTAGTTTTTTTAACTTTATCTTCCATAACTTTTGATAAATAATTTTTAATTAACTTTAGTAACAGTAAATCCTCTTATTTTGTTTACCTACGATGATTCTTTTGCCTACTTCTTTTCCAAAGTAGTTTATTTTAAATTTTTTACTTCTTTCCAATTTACATTGATCGAATCTTTGCTTGAATTTTTCATCTCTTTCTTACGAAAACAGCATAAAAAAATATTTACAACTACTTTTTCATATTGTAGTAAAGCGTCAAAGAATTTGCCATTTTCTCTACATACTCTTTAAACTAATTTGCAAAATGTTGCCAGACCTATTTCTGTGTTTCAAATCCAATTGTTCACTCGTTCATAGTAACGATCTGGATAGGGTATTAGATTGTAAAATAATTTCTAATCTTTATATAGAAAAAAAGAAGTTAAATTCCGTCACTCGAGAAAGGAAGACATTATAATTGCATTTCGTGTAATGTCACACTTACACTCTTTGCATATTTTCGATTACTTATTGTTTATTATTTGTTTTCTACTGCTGCTTTATCGTTGTCAGAACTTCTAAATGAAATTAACAAAGTCTGTTTTATGCTTTATAAATTCAATAACTTAACTTTTATTGATTCCTGCGAATTAATTCGTACCCTTTTCTGTTTGTATTACTAAAAACGTGCATTATTGTTTTATAAATTAAATTAAGTATTAAACTAAAAAATTTCGTTGTATTTCAATTTTTTAAACATATTTCGACACCATGCAACAACTTTATTTCACATTTACTATAAGTATTTCGAGTTTCTCATATCGTTAAAGTGTAATAAAATTGTTGCAATAAGTAATGCTTTGATCCTGTGTTCTTTTCGAACAAACAAATAAATAAATTATTAGCAGAGTGGTTCTCTATAATTAATAATATACCTATACTCTACCATTTTTGTCTTTGTCTTTTACATCAATTATCTCAATTGCTTTTAGTGAATTTCCCTGAAATAAAAAAACAATTATTTTATAAAAACTCTAATAAAACAATAATAATAACACAAATAAAAACTTTTTTACATTGGGCAATGTACATCGAACATTTCCGTTTTCAACGTTATTCTTTAAAGTTTCATAAATCTCGTCTAAAGAAGGTTCTTTTGTATTCTTTCCAAACCCTACAAAATGTAAATAATTATTTTATCTTCTTAAATATTCCTTTTATTCAATTAAAACAATTCTTACCTAATGCGTAAGGCCTTTCGCTAATGATTAAAGTGTATCTAATAGATTCGTCGTTAACGTAAGTAACCTGCCAAATATTAATTTCTTATATAATAAAAAGTATATTTTACGTTTAATTAAGCATTAATTATCAATACAAAGGACCAAGTATTACCTAGTTAATTTCTAGTACAACGTTGCCTTATTTTATGAAACCAAATGCATTATATTTGTCCAATTATAATTAATGGAGTATTTTGAAAAATTTCTGAATAAGTTGGTAATTTTGTTTAAAAAAATATCTTACCTGAGGTACACCAAATCTTAATGGTGATATTTTTAATAAATTCAGAAGATTGGAACGTAGGTTTTCTGCAATTACATCCGTGCCGGTGTCTTTTATAGGGCCTAAATTATTTGTTAAACAATTAAATATAAATTTCATAAATCAAAATTCGAATTANGTTAACGTAAGTAACCTGCCAAATATTAATTTCTTATATAATAAAAAGTATGTTTTACGTTTAATTAAGCATTAATTATCAATACAAAGGACCAATTACTAAATAATAGTTTTAAATTTTACTGTAGATATGACTGTTGTATAAATACTTCCGCAACTTCAGTACTTTAAATTGAGATAACGAATATCTTGTACATCTGTATTGAAAACATTACACTGAATTTACAGTAAATTCTTTATAAGTTGATGCAAAGCAAATTACATCAAAAGAGATGAACTTATTTGCAATTATGGTGTAAAAAGTAAAAATTGATAGTATTAATGATTTTGTAGCGAAAGTACAGATTTTCAATAAGAAATTACATTTTGACTTTCAGAACAATATTCGCTATTAAAATGAACTGATTTTCTTGTATTGAATTACAGATATCGCCTGCATCGACGGTTTCCATCCCGCAAATTCCGCCATTAGGAGACATGTCGAAAGAACGGGAAATTTTAGGGATTTCTTCTCTTTTTCTTGTTTTTAAAGCTAGTGTCGAGCCAGCAGTTTTGAAATTCGGCGCCGTTTAGCTCGCCCCTCTGCGGAAACCCGTGGGTATGTCACCCATAAGATTCCGCAGAGGGGTGCACTAAATAGGATACTCGCTCCTTTCTGAGATCGAGTAAAAAATTTCACAAATTATAATCGTAAAGTGATCGAGATATGTTACCTTAAACTCTGGACCATTGATATATTACTGTATTTCTAAATGAAATGAAGGTTTCACTACAGCATTTGCAGTCTCTAAAATCTTAATTTGAAAAATGTTTCAAAGGATAGATATCTCGGAAAAGTAATGGCTTCGGTATTCATGTTTTAAAAATTACCTACAAGTGAAGATCAACTAATTGTCTTTATTGTCTTTATTTTATTTAAATAATTTTAAATTACCTGAGGTACACCAAATCTTAATGGTGATATTTTTAATAAATTCAGAAGATTGGAACGTAGATTTTCTACAATTACATCCGTGCCGGTGTCTTTTATAGATCCTAAATTATTTGTTAAAAAATTAAATATAAATTTCATAAACCAAAATTCGAATTAATCTTAATTTGCGGCTGGAAAATTTTTATTATACGTAAGATTTTTAATTAAAAATTTACGCTTACCGGATAACGTTAATGATAATCTCCGTTTGTTTGTCTCTTGGAAACATTCCGAAACGTCAAAAGCCATCCATTCTACGGGATGAGTTCTATATTTATTTATAGTTTGCCAAGCCGAAGCTATAAACTGAATATTTTTAATGTTTAATATAATAATTATTATTAAAATAATCATAATTGATTGAGTAAGACTTACTTGACGATCTTCTATAATTCTTATTTCTAAAAATGCGGGAGTAAACATGTTTACTTCTTTATCTTCTACTCCCGTTTCCTGTGTAAAATAGAAAGTTCCTTAAATTAATATGGCATAAAAATTAATATCATAAAAATTAATATCATAAATTACTCATTTATAGAATTATATAGAACATTGGTTTATTTTAGAGTTAAAACTTTGAAAAACCGTTTAACAAATGCTGATTGTCAGTCAAAAACAGCGATTATAACGTACAAAAGTTTCAATAGAGAAGAACGTTTTAAGTCTTCTAGGCTAATTGGGACAACTAAATAAGCTTTGATATTGTTTCCGGTATAACAATTAACACACGAAATTTAATACTATCGATACAAAGAGTATTATTTGATAAGAAGGATAGTTTACAATGTAGTCGTAAAAATTCAACTAAAGAAACAGCATTTGTGATGATTTTTAATTCAAACGATTGTTTCTAGTGTAAGAGAGATATTCGGTAAAAGTAAGCATTGTCAGTACAAGTATCAATATACTAGTACTTTATGAAAGGAAATTATCAGTCGATATTACGGAATGCCAACAAACATATTTATTAATAAAATGCTTTTTTCACAGAATATTTTTCTCCTATTTAAATAATAATAATAATAATACAGTATTTAAATTTTTATAAAAAGAAAATTCTTACACTATCCACTTACACTCAAAAAATAATAATCAGCAATTATTATAGAATCATCCTTTTTATATTGATTCGTCCATACTTCGTAGATTAAATCGTGTTTTCTTCTCTACGGATAAAGTTTTCAATATAAATTAAATCAATACTTTTAATTGATAGAATACACAATTACATTTAATGGCAACTGTAATTAAAATATAAATTTAATTTGATTTTTATAGATTTTTTCCGTTTGCTGTTCTTACTCATTCGAAAAAATGTAAATATTTATTTTTGAATATCTGAATTTCTTCGAAAACAAGTGGAATGAATACATCAAAATTTGTATAAAACTCTAAATTTTAGCTTTATTAACCATAAAAAATAAAGAAAAATTAAAAGATAAGAAGAATATTTTGCTGCTAAACTCAAATTCAGAATGTCAGGTATAGTTTTATCTCGACTAGATGATAAGATTTGTACTTTATATCTTAAAGTTTGTATTCTTCTCTTGACACTAGTCTTATACAGTAGTCACTTTCAATTATTTAAATTAAAATATTGTCAAGATAAGTTAAAATTATACTGAATAACATTGTAGTAGATTCTACTATATTTTTCAATTTCTATTTCTGTTGTGGATTCTGAGATATTCTATTGTATTGTACTGTACTTACCACTTCGTGATATAGTCGCTTGTATAATTTCCTGTCACACCGCAACAGGAAATTAGACGAGAGAATTGTATTGATTCTGCCTACTAAATGCGATATAGAAATATTAGTCTGGCTATAATACTGAAATCAATACCACTTGTAAGTCTGGAATATAAAATAACATTCACGACAAACTTAAAGTATTTTTATTGAATTTATATACAATTTATATATAATAATTTTTTTAAATATCAATCAACTGGAAAACGTTGTGGATGTCTTGCATCCTGCAGTATCAAATATACAACATAAATGTTATTCTTTACGCAAAAGTAAATAAACTCATCCATCTCCTTATTGAATCATTAACAATTTAGTTGTCTAATTCCATAGCGAAGTATAATAAAATCATTCACAATAATATATAAAATATCAAATTAAAACTTTCAGTAATCGTCAGTAAATCAAAACTTACTCAGTAAAATTTTAACTTCTTATGACAATACCTTGTATTTATGAAAATTACAAATCTATATTATAATAAACGTATATTTCATTTCGATTTGTAAATAAAAAATAAAATTAATTTTAAAAATTTAATTTTACGTGTAATAATTTAATATTTTTAATATTTATTGTTTAATTCTTAAATTTGTAAAAGTCAATGATTAAAATCTATTTTATTCTATTAAAATTTTTATATAATTCCACGGATATGAAGTACTCACCTGTCCAACATATTGTGGTTCTTTCGTCGACGATTCCGGAAACCATGGGAACGATTTCCCCGGAAGTACCGTACTTTTCTCCATTACTTGTTCATTTGTTAAATTCCACAGGTTGCACTTTCTCGTTTTCTTGTCAATCGAATAGACGATTCCTGAATAAAACAAGAATTCGTTCAATTCTTTTCTTTCTAATGCATTGTTTTTCTATTCTTTTACACTTTAAATCAAAAAGGTAAACCTAATTAAATTCGTAAGAAGGTTCGTATTTACTTCTATCATAATCCTGAATAATTGTGGTTGTAGTTTCAAAATTTTGCTGTAATTCGTCTCTTCTTATTAATTTGTTTTCTTTATCGAACCAAATCTGTAAAGGTTCTACAGTTTTAAAAAGGTCTTTAAAGTAATAATTAATTGAATTTTTTCAAACCCTTTGGTGGAAATTCCAGACGTCTTTATTTGGTTCTTGTACTTGTAAATCGTAAGTCTCGAATTCGAAAGCAAAATATTTCGGCAATTTAGGAAATCCTCTTTTACTCTTTTTGTTCTCGCAATAAATTCCTTCCGGTTGCTTTAATATATAAATAATTAAATAGAGAAAACATTTAAATATATTTCGAGTCGTCACTTTCGTGTGTTTACCTGGAAAACTTCTCTGTTGGATATATAATTTTTCGTATTAAAAAATTCGGCTTTGAAAGTTAATCTTCTGCCTTCTTCCTCGTTATAGCAATCCACTTCCATTAATATAATCTGACCGCAAGGTTGATTTTGTTTATCGTCGCAGGATTTATATCCCGGATTGTTCCAGTGAGTTGCTTAAACGATAAAACTTTCTCGTAATTGTTCTTTAAATAGAGAAATTAATGGTGTTGTATGCACTTACTGGTTAAACTGTGAGTTAAATTACATTGAGCATCTAGTTGGGTAATGTTAAGATTACGGGTCTCCCACTTTTCAACTGGAATTCCATTTTCTAGTGTTGATAAATCTGCTATTTCTGCCTGAAGACAGAAAATAAACAAAAATAAATCATTTTTTCGTATTAATTATTTTATTTTATTGTTTTACCTTAACATTTGGATCGAAAAAGACAAGTGATGCGATGTCCCCAATTAGCTTTCTTTTATTTTCATCGATGGAATAAACAATTATAGACGATTTTCTGTCCGGTATTGGACTCACTTGGCATTCGGTTTCTGAAAATTATATTTGACAATTTATTAATATTTGAACGAAGAATGTACTTAAGTGAATGAGCCGAGAAAAGATACGTTTAATATTTATCCATTCGTCACTATCGAACGAATATATGTTGATTTCTGTGGATTCCGCATCTGTTTCTGTAATTACAGCGATCGAATTGTTTTCCTTGTCGTAATGTACTTGTATTTGCAGTTCTTCGTCGCTTTCTTCAACAACAACTCGAATGAAAGTTTCGATCTGTTTCGGCCATTTTGGTATGTTTATATCTCCTCCGGTTGGTTTCAAGTTATCTATTTGGATAAAAAGTAGACTGTTATAGATTAATTTATATGTATTTTCTTATTCTACAACAAACATATGTTCAAGAAATAGTCACTTTTACATAGATTACAATTTTGCAATTGTATACAAAGTGTTGATTAAAATCAACACCTAATATTTTATCAGTATAGGACTGAAAGTAATGTTTATAAAGGCTGTTATATTTTATATATGATAAAAATTAGAGTAGATATGTATACAGGGAGCCAATTTTTATTAATCCACTGAAGTAAGTGAAAAAATACGCTTCCTACAAACAAACTGTTATTGACTTTGAAGTGGTCAGAAGATTGCGCTGTCAGTGAAAACAGGATTAACCTCCACAATGGTAACCTTCATATTTTATTGCATGTTAATTCTATGTAGAACACAAGCTTTTAGATGAAACATTTTGTCCGAAAGATGTACTTATTACAAACCACAGCTTTGAGGTTTTATATAACCATCATAGCACGCGTGCAGATTTATGAATATCTGTAAAGTTTACTGTAAATAGAATGTGAAATGCCTTAAAATATTAGGAAACCATATGTTGGTATCCAGATTGATCTCTTCTCTTTATGGCATACTCGAGGGTTTTAACTAGCTTTTTTGTATCAGTTCATTATCTGAAGAAGAAAAAGAATGATTCTATCGAATAATTGTTTTCTAATGATTTTTTCATCATTTTTCATCCTTTTTCAGTGGACTTCACAGATATTTACAGAGGCGCGCGAGTACTCTGGCAGCCATATAACACTTTAAACACTCATAGCATCTAATAAGTACATTTTCGGAAAATGTTTCAGACATGTTTATTTTTATGTAGAATCAATATAGGCAATACATAGTGGTGGTTTCCATTTAAGGAAATGACTTAGTTTTTCACTGATTGTAACACCACGTTGTCTTAAAGTCTAACAATTTCCGTGTAAAAATTTTTTTTGTGTGTATGATGAGGAATTTTTTAGTTATTCCGGTGGATTGAATAAACGGAACATCCTATATACTGTATATGTGCATGTGTAGTGTTATCCAGGTGTTGTGAAAAGTAAGGTCAATAGGATAGGAAATACAGGATATTATGTAGAGCAAAATCTCTGAGTTGGTAATTGTTATTGAATTTTACGAAAATGAAGTTTCTTCTTCAGATTTTGACACCGCTGAACGTTTTATTCGGTGTTGTATGCGGACGAAGCGTACAGTTTTAAGATAGAAAACAAGGAAGAACGTGCGAATAGAATTTATGCCTCTACGGCAGTATTAGTTGTTCGACAACATTCCGCATTCGTTAGAAAGCAGAGAGTCATTAATTAATTATCAAATATTGTCCGGCGACTTGTTTTGTCAGACTACATGTTCACGAGACTATTTAGCCTCGTGAAAGTAGATCATGCACGAGTATCTGCTTATTGTTTAATTGTTAATAATTAAAATTATCGCATAACCTTGTGTCGATAGCAATAACAAAGGAAACTGAACACACTTTAATAGAGTCATCTGATTTATTATTTAGGTTCTGAAAGGAACTACACGTATTCCGTGCGCTCACTACTCCGTTAAACTATTGCTTAATGTCAGTTATCGGCAGAATATTTATCAATTTAAACTTAATATATATAACTTATAAAAACGTTATTTTAAACAAATTCCTACCTGGTATAAATATCCAAATAAAAAGTATAGAAAATAGCTTGATTGTCATTACAAATTTCTACACGATTTATTGCTTCTGTTTATTTAGTATCCGTATATAAGGGGGGCGTTACGCTATCTTTTGCGACAATAGAATATTTTTATCGTGTTATAGATAAATCTCACGCGATATATCGGGTATTCTAGTTATAATCAACATTAAAATAAATTGTGAACGAAAAAATAATAATTAAATCATTTTAAAAAAATACTGCATGTAAATAATTTATTAACAATAATAAAGTATTGTTAACGACATAAATATTTTACATGTCTACAGTAGTATAAAAACTAAAATTTCCTATTGTATAATAAATTTATTATGGTTTATAGTTAATTAGTAATGGCTCTTTTATGTATAGTATTTCTTTATAAATCTTTTAAAGTTGGTCCCATGTCGCTTAAAATTTCTACTGTAAGTATGACTGGTGATAATATTATATCTGTTTTTCTACAAATAAAATCTTGCGCCTTCTACGATTTTGTAAAAGCATGCTTACCTGTAGTTTTTCTTACAGTGATTTTTATAATATAAAATTATACTTCGA